AAAAGAGTAACAACTAAAGCCAACCAATCTTGATGAAAAGAACCATGTTGACATAATAATCCCTACATGTTCATCCATTAAATCATTCACACGCATACCACACACATACTCCCCTTTTTGAGGGCTCCAGGCAAGACTTCAGCATACAACATTCTTAAATCTGTATATGCCATTGGCCCAGAACTCTCACCTGTACAAAACTATTCTTTCTAAAGAATTATGTCTACCACAATGAGCAGTCATATACCAGAGATATTTTGTGGGGGGTGGAGTAGAGAATGGGATCAAAAATGGGGGTGGGGGAGGGAAGTGCATGGGACTATGGTGATGGCACATGGGTGACTCAGTGATGGGAAATCCACAGGGATTACAATTGAGATGAAAAAAAATGTACAAAATGATGTAAAAATAAACTATTATATAATTTTTTTAAAATTATGTGTACCAATATGGAGAAATATATGTTTGTCCTGAGTTATGCAGAACAGTGAAACTGTGCACATAACGGAACAATAGGGAATTAAACATTAAGATCCACATGCCACCAATAGAGATAAGAGTGGCAACAAACAGATGGTTTAAGAATAAAAACATTTTCAGAACTTGCAAAATGCCTAGAGAGTTTACCTCCTTCACACTTAGGAAATTATCTGAGAATGTGCTGCAGCAGGATGAGTGCGCACAGCGAGAAAAGTGAATGGGCTCCAGGAATTAGTGGCTCCAAATGCCAGAGCAGCAATGGTGGGAAGCCCCTGGGCATCCGGGCAGACTGGATTAGGGGTGCAGCGCTCCAAAGGCAGGTATCTGGGACATGGTCACTGCAGAGATGTGATGCTATCCTCGAGAACAGGAAACAACTCAAACATGTGATAAGTGCAAATGTTGCTAGAAAAAAAGGGGGCAATTAGAAATGTGAAGCAAAGATTAGGTGGGGAATGTAATCCTGACCACACAGGGAACTAACTTCACATCATCATAATAAACACATGATTGATTTTCTGTGTAGGACTAAGAGAAAGGATAACTTAATCTGAGTGTAAAACAGAAGGCAAAATCTTGAAAAGTACACGTACAAATGACAGCTGAGAAGCAAACAGAAGTTAAAGAAGCAGAAAGAAGGATAAGAGTGCTGAAACCACTATTGAAGTGCCAAGAGGCAGGCCTCCCTGGTGACTCAGGGGTTACAGTCAACACCTCATTAAGTTATAAGCAGCCACTGCAACATGAGTTCCAACCCGGCCAGGGAGCTGACCTACGTGGAGCAGCAGACCTCTCCTGTCTCT